TATATACAGTATATAAAGATCTTGCTACATAACTGTAGACCCATGCGTATTGAATTTAGGATGACTTTTTTCCCAATCAAGTGTGCAAACAATGCAGTCCTATAGCACAATCCTAAACATGTCCATTCAGAACTGCATAGTACTGAGTACATTGATATTTGTTCTTTAGTAAGTCTGCTTAGGGTTGTAGCTATAATCTCCTAGAATTGAAAGCATTGCCCCATATGTGGAAACTAGGAAGCAAAAATATTCTTATTAGAAGGGTTATACAGTTCACTGCAGTACTTTGCACCTTTAACGGGACGTCTGGTAGAAGTCTAGTACTAGACAAGCGTTAGTCATTGACAGAGTGTTGTCTAATGCACTTCAAGTGTTTTAGATATGAGATCTTACATTACCAAGTTTGTGCCCTTTTGGGGGGGGGAGTGATTAACATAATATAACTCAACTTTTTAGTTAGATTGGAATTAAAGTGAAAGATGACAACTCAAAAGATGATTCAGTTAGTGTCTGAATAGAAGGAAAATGCCAACACCCCAAGCTAACTTCCACCAGTCAAAACATTATATCAGGAAGTATGTTATGAAAATGTTGACTTCCTAAACAGAACAGTAGTGGAAACATTTTCAGTTCACATCATTATATGCGGGCGTGTTCTCCACCATTTCCACCTCACAATGAATTTGTTTCTGTGAGTGGAAGTTTCCTGGCAATGATCAGATTGTTATCTAAATTTACCCCCAAATAGTTCACCTGAAGTTACTAAATAAAGAGGAAAACTATTTTCTTTAATAAATATTGAAGTTGAATCAGAATATGATATTAATGAATGGCTTTGGAAAAAGGTAGTGCCCTTAAAAAAATAATATGTCTGCCTTATTGGGATCCATCTGGACTAGTATTCTTGTTCAGCTACATTTTATTTTACTCTTCTTTCTTCCTGTCCTGTGACCAATCAAGATTTTATACATTTCTTGTGCTTGGAACTGAAGTACGTATATGGTTTATCCTCTTCCTCAGTTCAGTGAGGCTTATGACTGTATGTTATTAACCCCTTCATCACTATCTGGTTGGTGCCATATGCCCTATAAGAGCCAGAAACAGACATGGGAAGGAATGGTCTTTCAGTGTAGAGTATGTCAAGGCCAGTGCTGACATAACATTTGTGAGACATAGCCTGTGAAGATTTTCTACTTATTTATTAAGTATACAACCTTTAAATTAATATTTGTACTTGATGCAGAAAACAAATATGCAAATGAAGCAACCAAATTATAATTTAGACATTAACCATTGCTATAAAGAAATGTCCCAATAAAAACATCAGATAACAACAAACAAATAAGAAGGAAGGGATATCTCCAGAAGTCTTAAATTGAAATTACTCATTCAGATTTCCAGCTGCAAACCTGCACTTTCCAGTCGAGTACCCTATCCATCATAAGCTTGTCTGAATTAAGCTTCATTTTGTTTGATCTTGTCCAACCCATTATTAAGAGGAAAGACTGATCTAGAACTTAAAACAGCTTTTGGGACATATATCATTGAGAATCTGTGAAAGTTGCAAGACAGGAAGAGGAAATCTTTCGTTAGAGAAAAATCACTGCTGCCGGGATAACTTCCTTGGCGGCAGCAATTTTTGGAGATCCCAACAGTGAAATGACACAGGAACCCAAGGAGCTCCAGAAGAAAAGTCAAAAGTGTTTAATTTCCCAAAATTCACCACTGCTGCTGTTGTCATCCACCTTATGCAGAGTGGACTTCCAAATTTAGTCCTATTTTAGTGTTTGCAGTTCTGTTGTATTTCAATTTTCCATGGTTTTAAAACATGTTTGTAAGCTGCCTCAAGTCCCAGTTCTGGTAGGAAGGGGGACACCCTTCTGCAGATTGGTTCTGATATAAGTTGTTCACTAGGTTAACTGAAGTTATCTCTAGAAGACGATCTCATTTCTTAACTACAATTTAAGAGATTTGGAGCAGACTTCAGAATTGTGCTCTGTGATGTGGTCATAATTATATTAACCTACCATACAAGGTAATAAGGTAAATGCTACTGAAATAATGTGTGTGTAGTCCTTTGAACACTTAGGGAAAGTGTTCTATAAATTGGCAAAAGTAACAATGACAATTTAACTATATCTTCAGTAGTAACTGAAGTAGTAACAGTAGTAACTGGCTGATATTGTTGGGGAGCTGCATGAATACAACTCAGTATTACTACAACTGCAGTAGCTACAGTCACGCCAAGGCAGATGCACTGTCCATGAAGCACCCCCACTGGTGCATTACAGAAATGGATAAAATAGGAACTGTGTGACCACTTGCATAATTACTTTGTGCAGTTCTTGTTGCTGGGGTGGAATGCTCGGCACCTTTACAGTAGCATAAAATTACATTATGCCTTGACAAACTAGATTCCAGCCTGTATTTGTGTAATTCTTTCATTGGTCCTAGACTACTAGATTGGCAGTTTGGTAGTGCTCTTAAATAAATCATTGTCCACAGGAGTCAGAGGTATCCTCAGAGGTTCTGAACTAGCTTTGCAACAGATATTTGGACTCTAATACCTTCCATTACCTCTACTACCTTCCATTACTAATACCTTCCAAAACTAAGATCATGGCCCCTGGTCCCATCACCTCCTGGGAAATATAAGGGGAAGATATGGAGGCAATGACAGTTGTTCCTTTCTTGGGTTCCATGATCACTGCAGATGCTGACAGCAGCTACGAAATTAAAAGACACCTTCTTCTTGGGAGGAAAGTGATGACAAACCTAGACAGCATCTTAAGCAGAGACACCTTGCCAGCAAAGGTCCGCATAGTCAAAGCTATGTTTTTTCCAATAGCAATGTATGGAAGTGAGAGCTGGACCATAAAGAAGGCTAATCGCCAAATAATTGATGGTTTTGAGTTGTGGTGCTGGAGGAGACTCTTGAGAGTCTGCTGGACTGCAAGCAGAACAAACCTATCCATTTTGAACGAAATCAACCCTGAGTGCTCACTGGAAGTATGCATCCTGAAGCTGAGGTTCCAATATTTTGGCCATCTCATGAGAAGAGAAGACTCCCTGGAAATGACCCTGATGTTGGGAAAGTGTGAAGGCAAGAGGAGAAGGGGACGACAGAGGACAAGATGGCTGGAGAGTGTCACCGAAGCTACCAACATGACTTTGACCAAACTCCAGGAGGCAGTGGAAGACAGGAGGGCCTGGCGTGCTCTGGTCCATGGGGTCATGAAGAGTCGGACACGACTTAGTGACTAAACATCAACATCAACCTTCCATTCTAATTGCTGTAATAAATTATATGTGTGATTGTCTTTTTAAAAAAAGTATGGAAGTTCCAATATGGCTACGGTTGTCAGACTGTTTGTTGGTTAGATCTGGCCAAGACAATCATATTATGTCACCACTTTGCTATCTATGTTGGCTGTCAGTCCATTTCTAGGTCCAGTTCAAAGTGCTGTTTTTAACCTTTGAACTCCTAAATGGTTTTGGACCTGGTTACCTGAGGGAATTCTCCCATATTTATCTACCCACACCCCAAAGTTGTCATTTGAGGTCCTTTTACATGCTCTCCCACTAAATGTGCTGAAGTCATGGCCACAAGAGAAAAGAACTTTTCAGTGGTGGCATCGCATTTCTGGAATGTTCATTCCATAGAACCTCATCTGGCACCTCCTACTTTGCAGTCCATTCATAACTTGATTATTTTTAAACCAAAAAAAATATTTTAAGAGGCATTTCAAGAACTGGTTTTATTGAATCTTGATCTTAGCCCCTTTTTTGCTGCTGGGTTAAATTTAGTTCTATCTGCTACAATGTTTTTCTTTGTTACTGGTTTTATTATGTGTTTTAAATCATTGTTTAATTATTCATATTTTATGTTTTTAAAGTGCTGTGTGCTGCTCATTCGATACTCATTACTGGTAGTCTTAAAGTGTACTAACCAACTGAAATAATGAATACTGTTTAGAATTGATAAATGAAAAAACAGCAGGGCTGGGTCAATCCAGAGGGTTATCTCAATACTCTGTTCACACAGTGGTAAACCAGGTGCCTATGGGATTTCCAGATGTAAGATACGTATGTGTGGAATAGCATCCCTGTGGTTATTTTCCATGACAATTCATATTTAGGGGCGTACTAGATTTAAAGAAAAAAAGAAATTGCATCTGAGCCATATTAAGGAAACAAAATGTTCTGCTCTAATAGAACATTCTGCAATAGAACATTTTGCATATAAGTCTGTTGCAACTTATAATATCACAGAAAGTTATTGGTAGCATATCATAGAATATTAATAGTAAATGCATGATTTAAGCAATTTTATATAGCAAGTATTAGGCTTTCTTTTTATCGTTACCATTGAAGCTTTTGACCAGGTATTTTGGTTTCGTTTTCTTTATGTGATTTCTCAAATATGGTTGGATGACCAAGAGCTGTGTTGTTGCTTCATTGCACACATAAGAAATATGAGCATGCTAATATAGCTGTCAAGTCTTTATGATAGCTTTATATTTAATACCATTGTTCTTCTTTTGTGATATGAAAAGAGAATTTCTGCCCTATAGCAACTAACAAGTGGTTGAATGTATTTTGTAACAGTAGAGAGTTGGCTAAGCAGAACGACTGAACTAGACCAGTTTGAGTGGTTTGGATAAACTTTTTTTTCCAATTAATGTTCATTGCATTCTTCAGGTTTTAGTCACTATCTATTGGCTGGGGAAGACAGCAAACAGCAGCACTCATTACAGTGGAGCAACACTGAACCTGAAAGAGTTTGAAGGATTGCTAACTCAGATGAAAAAGGTATTTTTTGTTGCTTTGGAGATGGAAACAGTATTTTAAAAAGCAATGGTCATTAAAGGCTTGGATTTCTTTCAGGTTTTTATGGCTTGCGTCCAACAGAGATTTTTAACTGTTGCAGAAGCAAGTAGATGGTGGAGATGATGGCTGTGAAATGAAAGAGGAATGCATAAGTGCCTAAGGAGAATTTTTTTAAACTGCTCCTGCCGATTGTCAGTGGATGGAAAGTGTTTATTTGCTAGCAGTAACACTGTTGTTCAAGTACCTCTGTTGTTGCTGTATATATTATTCTGCTGACTTTTATGCCCTTACAATTTTTATAGTAGCAGAAACAAATATAAAGCCAGATGGTACAGATGACACATCATTAGAAGTAGAGCTCCCTTAAGAAGAAAGTCTATCTGTTTCTGAACATACCTCAGTCCACATTTGACAAAGAAGTTTGCTTTCATTCTATAATTGGCCAGTTGGGAGATAGCTGGCTTTATTGGCATCTCTCATGTTTCAGGCATGTAGTGCTGAAATATTGGCACATTTGGATGCTTAGCATTGTAAAAGAAGGAAATACATGCTTGCCTTAAGTGTGTGATCTGGCCTTTAAGTGTAGTCTTGAAAACATGCTCATAAAATCATGTGCCTTTAGAATAAAATTCCTGATAAGAACAGATACTACATATACGAGTATATGGCCCTTTTACTTGACAGGACATCAACCCCAGTTCAGTCGACCTGGTAGTGTGGGGGAAAACCTGCTTTTAACTAGCTTCTAAGACAGCATCCTCACACCCACCCTTCAGCTGGTAATGATGAGGTTTGGGAATCAGTTTTGGTGGGTTTCCTGGGGAGTGAGAAAGATTGGGAAAGGGGTAAATTCCCACCCACCGCGAGTAGTAACAGTGATCTTAGTTACTTTAACTGGGAGATGGAAGATGCTTTCACTTGCCCACAGAGGTCTTCCTGTCCCTGCCTGTTCTTCATCATCCTCACTTACACCTTGATTATTTATTACAGTATTTTATTTTTATTTAAAATATTTTAACCCACCTTTCTCCTTAAAAAGGTCTAGCATGGGATCTGAAGTGTACTAGAAGAGCTTCTGTGGAGAGGCAGGCGTCTAGGCTTGTATTTGTGTGAATACTTGTGGAGTTGTTGTCCTCATCGAGTTGTTAAAGTAACAATTTGTGTTGTTGTTGTTGTTATCATTGCTGTTAAAAAAGGACTCAATCCTTTCCCACAACATTGGAGCTTTTTTCTGTTGATCACCAAGTGCTTTGATACATTGATATAACAAAAATCTCCGGAGTTATTGGCTTTTTCCACTGAGGGATAGTGAGTGAAATAATCTCTGCTATAAATTTTCCCTCCAGACACAAGGTGCCAAACGATTCTCATGCAAACAGGGCCCATGTTTGTTTCCTAATGCTGTAATAAGTAATCGCAAAAGAAAAGCTAGTTTGCAGCAGGTACAATGATAAACAACCATCTTTTCTCTCTTAACAGAGGAGTACCTCTTATAATGTGCTAACTGAAGATTATAGTTTATTCTTCATGATTTTGAGAACAGAAGCAAGTGTTATGTGTTAATGAAGGATGAGCTCTTGTATGGCTCCTATTCATTTTAGCAAACAATGTGCAGGAGAACTGGATCCAGATTTTCTGCCTGAGGCATCATCATATGGTGGGCCGGATCTGTGGATCAGAAAACTGTAGAGTTCCAGAATCCAGTTCATTGTGGATATATCCTGCCTTCCAACAACTTCATAACAAAAAGTGGTTCATAATCTGGATGTTTCGAAACTTTTCTCAGTCCACAATATGTTTGTAATATGTGAAACTGTTGCAGAGCGAGGTTTTCTGTGTTGTTGTTGTGACTGTTTTTATTATATGCCTGTAGATCCGATTTTATCCAGATGGCTGCAATAACAGTTGTATTACGAAATGCCATGCTACAGATTATCATTCCCATGATTCCAATAGAATAGAAGCAAATGTTTAAAATTAGTCTGTATCAATAAGATGCCATTGTAAAGGTTACATAGTCAATTTAGAGGTTGTTTAAAGGAGTAAATAAATAATATATTACATTTAAATGTGCAGGACACTTAGCCCACTTACATAGAAGGAAGGTGCCAGATTTCTTTTCAGCTGGTATACTTTCTTGCCCTTTTAAATCAGTGGCATGACAAGCAACACCTCACTGGACTAAATCACTGTTCAAATGACAGAGCAACAAAAATGACAATCTCAGAATCAACATTTTATTTTACAGGCCACGTTCATTCATTCATTCACTCACTAGCTCGCTGTCTCACTCTCTTATTCATTCATTCTTTAATTCAGCTGCTTAAATATTTTTTAAATAAAAACAAAACAACAGTAGCTCTGTATTGAGTTTTGACCTGTTTTTATGCATGAAAAATGGTCTGTGCCATTAGATAGCTCATCTGATTTTCATTTCTCCAGCCACTAACTTTTCCATAATAGTTAAATACTACCCCCACTTGCAATTCTAAAACTTGGCAGACTGCCAAAGGATTAAATGTATCCTATTGGTATGCAAGATGTGGGTCTTCAGGGAATTTAGGAAAAATGTCAGATTGGTTGGGGAGGTGCTGTGTGGGCAATACGGTATCTTTCTATTAATAAATAGGGAAGTTCTAGTGCTGTTGAAGTAATGTATAACATGCATTTTAATGCTATATAGTATGTGGCCATCCTATTTATTTGTTTGCTTTGTTTGTTTACTGATTGATTCCATTTATAACCTGCAATTTCTTCACATTACCTCTGCTCAGAGTACAGAGGCTGTTCTTTACATTTGTCCTTGCAAACAACTTTCGTGTATGGTGGGCTCAGGCAGAGGGAATGACTGGCCCAGTGCTAAGAGTGTTTTCATTGGGGATCAGAAACTCTCAATACTCATTCAGAGCAAGGGTAACTCTAGGAAACATGCTACTCTAAGTGAGGAATGCTGCCCCTCCGCACCCCATGGTCAGCATTGCAGGGTCACCCTTACTTAATATTTATAGACTCTGGAGCAGGTATGATGTTAGGAACTTTGCTGGCACCCTCTACAGAGACCCATGTATGTGTATGAAAGTGGAGCCATGATCATTGTGCATGTGGTCTGTGTGTGAGAATTACCCTCTGCAACTTTCCTTTTTCCTGGTAACGGGCGGAATGTTATATGTGCTTCATTTTTGAAGGGCTTAGGGAGCAGGTTTGGATTCTGCTGAGTATCTCCTCCAAATTCAAAACCCCTTCTGGCAGAGCATCTTGCTTTCTGTTACTGAGGGCCCCATCCCACGGGTCTTCTGGTTGTGGCCTCCCAGTGGTCTTTTCCACTGTTCACCTAAGAAGCTTTATATCATTCCTATGTCTTTTCCTGTGATAACTGGTATAGAACCTTTACTATGCAGTGGAACTTGCCCGGAAATCGTATGTGGCATTCACTTTTTCACTCATTGCTTGAACTCTTTCTCTGGAATGTTTGGAGCTCTCTCTGTAAGAACAGGCCACCTGTGCTGCCCTTCTTAGAGACTTCCCTGTTTCTTCTCTCCTTACAACATATTCTGTGAACGTTGTAGATGTTCTCCAGCTTGGCAGTGCTCCCCTTCCCGCCTTATTTTGGGGGAATCCCTTCAGTTTAACCTGAGTCCCCAGTTGATTAGCCCACCAAAGCCCATGGTACAGTATTATGGGTGTTATAGTCTCCGTGTCTCAACGGCCAAGGTTCCCTGTCCTTACCCTTGGAGAGACGTGGTGGAAGTTTTCAGTTTTCAGTGAAGGTGGGATAAAAAGAAGCCATCCGTATGCATCAGATTTACAGATGAGCCTGCAACAGTTAGTAGCTGAAACATCACTGGTCTGTCTGTCTGCACAGAGCTATGTTAAGTCTGTTGGCATGTCGATTGCTTGCAGAAAGGCAAATGTATGGAATCAGAAAAGAGGAAGGAAAAAAGTTCTTGTAAAGCTTCTCTACCTAGTCACCAAAAGGCAGTCCAGCAAGTGACTGTTTATAAGCAATGGGACACATGAATTCCATTCATTTCACTTCATGTATTTCCGTCTTGGAATAAGGATAAGCTTATTATTCCTCTCACCGTCATCATATCTGTACTTGCCCTTGCTAAACAGACGAGTCAATGCCATAAAACATTCCATTTCTTCCTATCAAATTATTTCAATGTACTATAAGTCTGTAGCTTTGCTTTTACCTTAACAGCTATTGCTGTCTCTGAACTTGACCTTAGGGGACCTTGGCTTTAAGCATGCTTCGGAGCTCTTGGCAAGAAGCCCTGCAGTGACCCTAATTAATTTCTCTCACTGGGAAGTCTGTAGGGCATTTGAATTTTGAATTGTCCTTACAGCTTTTGTAGGTAAAGCTCTTTTCCATTTTTGTGCTGCTTTCTCTTAGTTACCAGTGCTAGCGGCATTTTTGCTGTTGTTCCCCAAAATGTGTCTATTTTGCTGTAATAGCAAAGAGACTGCTAAGCTGTAAACTGGGAAGATCCTAGTTTGAATTTTGCTCTTTGGTAGTTGTAGACAGTTATTCATCTACGTATCATCTCTCTAATATGGAAATAATAATACTGGTCGATTTCTAATGAAAACAGAAGTAGTACCCAACATTGTACAAGCCAGAAAGCCCTTGCTGGTTAGAAATGATTTGTTAAAAAATTTAATTTGCGGCCCCTAATTTATTAACGGATCTGAAGTGTGATGCTGTGGATAGAATGATGGTCGGGTTCAAATTCCCACTCAGCCATGCCTGCTCATTTATGGTGTGGAACTAGTAAAACCACTCCTTAAATATCTCACTTACCTTGAAAATCCTGTTAGGGTTCCTGTAAGTTGGTTCTTATTTTATGGCACATTGCAACCATTTATTAACATTTTCAAGAACAATTTTGCTTAATTTGCAACAGTATTATTTTTGTGTAATTATGCATTATTGTTGCATGTAAATTCTTTATTAGACATTTTTAATTTGATGATTCAGTAGTCCCCCTCCTACCACAGACCCATTTAGTGCTGCCTTGTTGTCGGCCAGTCATTGTTTGATCGGTACAAATTGCCCCCCCTCTTTCCACCCCTCTTCTCTCTTTTTTTGCTTTTCCTCCTTGAGCTCCCTTTCACATGCACTTTCCAAAGACAGAAACATAACCACTATCCACAGACACAGACTTGCATGCACAAGGAAGCGAGCAAGAGAGCAGTCCGTGGGTAGGTTGGTCAGGAGCTCTCCTGAACCCCTCCCCCCCACCAGCCCTCCCCCTTTGGCAAAGGCATGGAATATGTGAGGTGGCTGTGGCAGGTCTTTTTCTCTTTCCCTCCCTTTTGGCCCCCTCCTCTCCATACAACACACATTCCATTTTATGTTTCTCCCACCCTCTCCATTCTCCTCATTTAATGCCACTATTGTTTCTATTTTCACCTGTTCAATAAGGTACAATATACTATTACACTGCTCTCATTTATCACTGCTTTGGTCAGCACTCCCATGTTCTAGGAACGTATCCTGAGCAATAACCAGGTATTACTGTATAGTGTGTCAATGAACAAACAAGTTATCAGATCAGTTCTTAATATTGAGTAACAAAAACAGTGATATTAACAAAGTACTTTTAAAAATAATTTAGCATTGACAAGATGACTTTAGCACTAATGTTTCTGAGCTCTGTCCCTTAGTGTGTTGTTTTTCTTTTCCCCTCCTATTTCTCTTCTCATCTCCACTTCTTTCTCACTACTTTTTCTTTTTCCTATTCTGGGTCTCATTTACTGTTGCCTTGAGCTCTTTCTCCTCCCTCTTTCTTACTGGATAGCAAGTCTCTCTCTGTGTGTGGGGTGTCTGTGTGTGCCTTGGAAGAATTTGGGGTTCCTGCTGAGGGAAGCAGCAGTCAAAAGCATCATGTTGTTTTCATAATTTTACTTCTGGCTAATATGGAGTTACCTGGACACTCCCTGAAGAAATGAAATGTGCCAAGTCTTACTACCGCTTCCTGTGAGATAGTTATGGAAGTCTGAAGCCTAGTGATTGAAGATGGTACTGCAGGCTACACACATTTTTAAATTAGCTGTAGTTAAAAAAATTGAATCCAAATAATCCCAAAGTGCACAGACCTATAATTTTATATATCTAGGTTTATGGAAATATGGCCTTGGGCAGCTTGTTTTACAGCCAAGGGATTGTTTTAACGTAAATTAAAATTTTAAAGTGGAAGTAAAAGAAACCCATGCTTGCAAACAAATTCTTCATGCTAATGCTCTTGTCAGCAAACTATATGTTTCAATTTTCGGCTGAGTGGAAAACGTAGGTTTCTCTTATGCAATTTCTAGGATGACTTAAGGTTGATGCCTAGCTGGTGATTTGAAGTTGGGCATCTCCACTGCAGAATCAGTGTTACATATCATTGCATACATAATCTAGAGGGAACACACCTGCCAATGAAGATACATCTAAATAGGGTGTCAAACTCTCATATCTCTTGACAAGCCACTGTCCAAATCATACAGCCAAAGACATCTTGGGTTTTAAGTTAACAGGCAAAGCACATCTAAACTCACTGAACAGATCTTCAATTTATTGTTTGTCTCTGGCTGGAACACCAGCAGAATAAATCTGCTGTAGCTGCTTTTGGCTCAGCCAAAATAAGCTCCAGCCTCCACGCAGTCTCCTTCTACACACCTGCCAATGACAATACTGTACACCTAAATAAGGTGTCAGCCTATCATAATCTCTTGACGACTCTGCTTATGCACTTTAACTTTAGCTGTAGATGTACATTGACTTCCAGATTTAGATATAGATCTGAATGTAGATATAAGAGCTATACGTACATTTTTGAAGCAAACTGAGGATAAAATTTGTTTATTTGTAGCATATGAGGCAGACGATTCTGAATAAACCTACTCCCATGAAATATTTGTTGTCTTCTATGGACAACTTCTTAGCGTTTCAGAATGACCCAGGAGAAGTGCTTTTTTGTCCTCAGCTTTTTGGATCACCACACGTGAAAGTGATAATATTGTCATCCTTACCTGTTTTGATTAAGAAGGAGGAGGAGAGAAGGAGAACTCCAAAAATGTTGCCTTTCAACATAGACACTTATTTGTGTTTGTCTTGGCCCCATACCGTTGTCACTGATGATAAGATATTGGCTGAGACAAAGGATAATGTTCTAATAATGCAAGGCTTGAGGATAGCTTCCACTGACCTTTTCCCTTTTCTGGAGCTTTTCAATGTTTTAGTATGTGTGGCTTGCACTGGAAAGAATTTATAATCACAAGGCTGTCAAAGACTACCATTGTTCTCACTGCTCTGAACATGTGGGTCAGCTACAAGTGCTTTCATATCCCCCAGAGCCAGGAGCTGGCAACAAGCGAAGACCAAGACTGAATTCTTCACCAGCATTGGGGGGGGGGGGAGAAGAGTGTTTTGCATTTTTTCATTGCTGATTGCTTTGGGGAAAAAGACTTCCCCTTTTTCCCAATTGGAATTTCTCCTCAAGGTAGAAGGAGACTGCGTGGAGGCTGGAGCTCATCGCTTCCTTATTTTGGCTGAGCCAAAAGCAGCTACAGCAGATTTATTCTGCTGGTGTTCCAGCCTGAGACAAACAATAAACTGAAGATCTGTTCAGTGAGGTTAGATGTGCTTTGCCTGTTAACTTAAAACCCAAGATGTCTTTGGCTGTGGGATTTGGACAGTGGCCTGTGTGATAAGGATATGGGTGAAGGACTAGCCATGTCTCAGGTTGTTGTTGTTTTGTTTTTTTAATTTTAATATTGGCTGTCTATGTAAACCTGCATATGATTGCTGGGGCTGTAGCCTGTGAAAGCTTCTACCATAAGTGGATTAGTCTTTTACTGTGCCACAGGATTCCTTGCTGTGCTTACAGCAATATGCTAACAAGATGGCTCGTCTATTGAATATGTTAACTTGCTTGTCTCAATTCTTCTTTCCACTGTCTGCATAAAACTGGTGTGTGTTGTTATGGGATTTCTTTGCCTTCTTCTCAGTCTTACTTTGGATTCCACAGCAGTCTGTCATTAGGGATTTGAAAGGAAGTGCTCTTGACTGTAGCAGGGAAGAGCAGGTAGAAGATACTGCTTTTTAAAAATGTTGAGAGTGACATGGGGGAAGCGTCACTGCAGGCAGGCTTTGCTATATACCTGATCTTTGTCTTTTCTGATAAACAGTGTTAACATTGAAAATTTAAAGATTTTATTTATAAAAGAGTTGGAAGTATATCAAAACATGTATTGCTTTCCATAGTGCACACACAGTGCATGTATTATTGTTCTGACTCGTGGTCTACTCTGGATAAATAGACTGTTGTAGTGTAAAACCTGTAGTGTAAAGCCCATATACCATATTTGATGAGAGGCAATTATGTTTAAAAAGAAATGTACATGAACAACAAGGGGAAGAATGCCCCTATCATACCACTTTCAATTCACTGAAAAAATCTTCCTCTCTGTCACACCTTAGATGCATACATACTGGATACATAGGGAAGGCTTCATGTTTGGTGCAGATGGGTTTCCTTAATTAAAGACACTTCCTCTTCCTTCCATGGTAGGACACTGAGGATGTTGAGAGTCCAAAGCGTAGCATCCGTGACAGTGGCTATGTAGACTGTTGGGATTCAGAGCGCAGTGACTCCCTTTCTCCTCCTCGCCATGGTAGAGATGATTCTTTCGACAGTCTGGATTCCTTTGGCTCCCGCTCCCAGCAGACTCCGTCTCCAGATGTTGTATTGAGAGGAAGCAGTGATGGTAAGTTGGGATTTCCAGGTCTCTGGCTTAATGTGACACACAGCCCCTTTTTGTGTAGAATGTTTGCTCTGGAATACCTGCTGCTCAAAAAAATCTGGTTTCAGTAACCAAGACTTAATGTGCCTTGGTAATCTCATGGAACAGGCAAGAAACTTGTATTGAATGCTGATTTATGACCTAGGAGCTCTTTGCCATATTTTTGCTCCCACTGCAATTGACATCCCTCTTCACTTGTAGTTATGGGCTGCGGGGGGAGAGGTTACATCATAGCAGTCTTAGTTTATGAGATGGCCCTTCCTAAGTCTGAAGTGTAAGGAGATATTGGACAGACCCAAGGTTTAACTAAAAAAGCAAGGCCCAATAATAATGAGAATGTAGGGAGGCAGAAAACACCATTTGGAATGTGTAGAAAGTGGGGAGCCATGTCTTAAGTGCTAATCTGGATAGCCTTTATGTATGGTAAAAGGAAAAATTGGTTTTATTTTGAAAAGTAGGTGATATAAACTACAGTTTGTCAGGTTTTGTTGACAGTACTGGGGTTCTCTCTTCTTAAAAACGATGACTTCTTCTGTCTCCTGAGTGTAACTGAAATATTTTGAAGCAAAAGAAAGAAAGAAAGAGTGACAACCCCTCCCAGGTTACTCAGAGAGTTCTCAGGACTGAATGAGAATTTTGGTCTAGCCTTTCCCTGTTCCATAATGGACTATGTAAATTTCTCTCTCTCTCTCTCTCTCTCTCTCTCTCTCTGTTATTGTGATTGTTTAATCATCTATATAATTGGCTATGTAATAGCAATAATAATAAGTGTATTGATGGTGCATTATTCTTATTTTTAAAACCTGATAAATTACATTTTGTTGTGGTCAGTCCCTTTCTCTACTGCTTGGACTGCTCATCTTCTATAAACACAAGTGCTTTATAGCATAGAAGAGCATGCACAATAAAATCCTACAATGGTTAAATGTAATATCAAAATAATTTCTGTTTTCATCTCTTCAAGACTTCTGGATAACTACATCCCTTTTAATTTTGTGGGAAGCAGCTTCATAAGTTCTGTGTCTGAAGGCAAACTATGTTTATGTGTTTTCTTTACATTTCAGTCTAGTCCTACTGATCTTCCAGAAGTGGCTTTTCTCTCAGTCATGTGTGTTTCCAGTGTTTTTCCAATCCCATTTAGATAACTCGTCAGTAAAACCAGAAGAAAAAGAGTGCAGGATCTCTGTTCTGCTCTGTGTTATTGCCCTAAATCCCATCTTTCAAAATAGAGAAGTGGTGGTGATAGTTTGGATAACGTGCTCATTTCTGCAGAGTGTATAAATGTAGAGACATTTTTCTCCTTATAATGTTTGAACTTAGGAATATTCCATGAAATAGATTGACCACAAATTTGTTATTGGCTTTGGTAGATTTTCCCAAAAGAGTCCAGGGTGGCTAATTATGTTGCAGCGGAGCCAGAATTGTCAGGGTCAAAGTTCCAGGACTTCAATTAACGGAGATTGTTATGTCATCTGCCACCTCTCTCAGGTTTCCCTTCACACTTACCGTAGCTGTACAGTACCTAGAGTGGTGTTGAGGGACATTCTAAGAGCAGTATAATGTTGTGTATCATTGTATGTTTGTTCTCTTCCCCATTCACACATGAGAGAGAGAGAGAGAGAGAGGTGTAGGTCAACACAGTTGCTTGGATTTATGGATTTGCCTTGGACATATGCTTGTGGAGCTGTCACAATGCCTACCTGCACGTCAGAATTTATACCAGTGGTGAACAGATTAAATTCAAAACACAATTAAAATAATGACTCTAATATCACAGGTGTACAATACAATAAAATAAAACCACCACACAATCAAAAAAAGTTTTGTGACTTTGCAAATCTTTAAGCAGAAGATTCTGTATTGATCAGAGACTGGGATATGTCATTTTCCTTTCCCAATGGAACTGAAGGAAAATTCTGTGTGTCATGTTCAGTGGGCAGTTCGCACTGTAGACTAGCAAAATACCAAACTGCAACCAGGATCCTATTCAGTTTCCACTGAGCACCACACCACTTGTGCCAGCATTGCTATTTTGTAAGCAATTTCTTTATGAAGAAAATCCAACCACTGCTTGCCAACAGCAGTGGTTGTTTAAGTGGCACAATCACATGTTACTGACAGGATATTGGCCTGTCTGTTTAGAATAGGAGATATGATTCTACCACACCAAATGCATCTAATGATTTTTTTTATTCTGGCACTCCTTGGTTAATTAATTAAACTTGTATGTGTTTTTATTTCCCCTCCCCGCCACCCCCCCCCAAAAAAAAACCACAGGGAGAGGAAGTGATTCTGAATCTGACTTGCCGCATCGAAAGTTGCCAGATGTGAAGAAAGACGATATGTCTGCAAGGCGGATATCCTACGGTGAACCTAAAACAGTTGTGCCTTTTAACCAATACCTCCCCAATAAGAGTAACCAGACTGCCTATATTCCAGCTCCTCTCAGGAAGAAGAAAGCAGAACGAGAGGAGTACAGGAAGAGCTGGAGCACTGCTACGTCTCCACTAGGAGGAGAGAGACCTTTCAGGTAAGGCCGTCTCTGTCGCTTCAGCAGTACCAAACTCAGACATGAGTTCATCTGTAGCGAACAAGTGTACCTCTCATGCAAAGGTGATCAGCACATGCTTGGGCTTTGATTCTCTCTGATTAATTGCTAGATAGCAAATACACAAAAATAAAGTATCCTTGGGAATATTATACAAATTACATTGTTATTCCTGATTTATGCAGATGGTCGTTCAAAATTTCTTTATGAGCTTTACTCTATGCATATGCCGTTTCTAACTACTTCAGTGGGGTTTTTTGAGTTATTTTGCTTTTAAGTTAGTTCGGTCTTGGTTCAGATGCTCAACTGGGTAGGAGGCGTACAAAACAGAGCCATAGAGAGCCTCAGAACCTAAAAAGGGTGTGGTGGGGATAGAAAACCTTCCTTTGATTTAAATTAATTATTTTTGGTGCCTCAATCTGATTTACAGTAGTGTGACTTTACAGAACAGGATTTTGCCCTATATCTCAACTAGAGATAGAATATTGCCACCACACGTGGCTGGGCCCTTTTGACCCTCCCCCCTAGAACTGGCCAGTCCACTTATTGCCTCTCATCATTCACGCCGTGCCAATTGTGGAAGTAGCTCGGTGTTTCCCCACCTCCCTGTACTGCGGCCCTCGGGGAGATGAATACAAATATCCCATCTCTAATCTCAGCTATATGAGTAAATTAGGTACCTTGCCGAATAACCAATAGTTGGGAGTGTGATTCTCCACTGTGCATCCTGGTCAAAGAGCTAGCCTATGTAGTCTTGAACAAACTGTATAACCCCAGAGCACCTCCAGAAGAAGGGAAGGGTAAACCATTTCTGTACACTTGATATCTAGAAAACCGTGAAAAGGGTTGCTATAAGCCAGAATTGATTTGATGACGTGTTATTGTTGTTGTTGTTAATTAGCTGAGGTTATGTCCCATTGAAAGCATGGGTTTTAAAGGGAATGAAGTTTAGCTAACATACTGATTTACACTTGATTAAATGCAACATGTGCCTGTTTGTGTAAAAAATGAAAGTGATGTCATGTGTTTGTACGTTAAAGTTTTAGAGCCTCTCTCTTCCTTAAATACTTGCACTTAAAAACAGAACTGTATCTCTCCTTTTAATACTGGAGAAATGTCTGTCATGCACATTATTAGAAATAGCAACAGTGAAGGAGACAGGAGTGCATTGTGTAATCATCCTCCCTATATAACTTAATAGCAAAAGCTACCCTGAAACTATAGAAGAAGAGCAAGGTGAGGCACTAGTGTGTTCTGAAGAGCAGTCCTCAGGGTGCAGAGTTGCCACTACAACCCTCCCTGCGAAGCCTGTTCAGATAGACGTGACTCAAAGGGATTCTTTACATCTGTCTCCTACACATTCTGCAAGGAAAACAGCAAGGCCCAGAAATAATGACAAAGAGCCTGAAGAACTCAGAAAGCTAAGAAAGCTTGAACAGGCTGGTATTAAGATCATGCCAGCTGCACAGCGCTATGGCAGCAGGTTAGCTCTGTGCTATGGGACTTGGTGTACGCATGCGTCATGTTTTGAGCATTTGTTGTGCTTTGTGGTTATTTTCAGTTTGATGTACCCCTGTAACAAGTTTCTTAAAACCCAATAAATACTTGAACCACTTGCTCCTCGCTATTTATTACAAGACATTAGAAAATAATAGCTTGGGAATTGGAGAGCTGTGCATTGCTGTGGTGTGTAGTGTTAAGCGCTTTCCTCTTCCTCAAAGGATATTTGCTATATTTTAATTGGGGGGGAAGCTTTTTAATCTTCCATTTTCTTGGGTGGCGTTGGATTATGCTTGCGTATGTTGTTAACTGATCTGTGGTAAACAGCTGCATGAAAGGACATAATTTAAAACAAGATGTTATGGAAATAGATAGCTAAAGACATTTACTAATTATGAAGCATGCAGTGTCTGCAAAAAATGCCAGACACTAGTTGAAGTGGCTTCACTAGCCTTGCCACAAATTTGCCAGATGCCATGGCTAGGTTGGCAACTTCTGACTGTAGTGAAACTTAGTGTCTGACTATGTGGTCATTAGTTGGGAAGAACATTAGGATTTATTCTTCAACAGCTGCCTAATATCTCAGTGGCAGTTGCCCTGCCACACTGCACTGCTGCCTGCCTGCTGCTTCCGGTGGTTAAGAAGACAGGCAAACTGGGACAAGGCCTTAGATAGATTTCTGTTACTTTTGATTTGGCCCCTAAATCTCACAGTGTGAAAGAGATCCAGACATGAGATTTCAGTCCTCCTGCTCTGCTGGATATCTAGACAGCAAGTGATGTCCTTTGTAGATTTCAAGATGTACAAAAAGCTTTCAGGGCTTCACAAAATTTAAAATGTTTGTGGGCAATGCTGCCTCCCTCAGCTACCTCAACCCTTCCAATAAAGTATCACCAGTGACCGCAGAGCCTTGTTGTTAAAAATTTTTTTTCTATGGATATAGTATTAAGGTGTTCTGAATTGAATGGTTTAACCTCCTAGGCCAAAATCCCACATGAGGAATGATAATCACACAAATGGCTCTGCCTTTTTCAGGGTGTCCATCACACAAACAGTTGGGCCCTGCTCACAAAATTACTCACCCACTGCCAAAACAGGGGAATCTGCTTGTATAATTATCATTATGCTTTTTATCTCTACTAGCACCATTTTCTTCTGATTCCTCCAAAATTCTATATGTGTTTCTGTGCATGTGTGCTCATTCACATACTCATAGATGTACTTGTATATGGAAGTGATTGGATGCATTGAAGCATTTTTCTGTTTCATTATTTCTTTTGATGTTCTGCATTTTTAGAAGTCCATTTTACTTCCTTATCTCTCTTCCCAACTCCTGCAGATGGATAGCTGTGTTAATTTATCGTCACATGATATAGGTTTGTCCTTAATACATAGTGAAACAGGGTGATAGTATGCCCATTTCTTACAAAAAATCTATTTCTTTAGACTTCCTGTGTCTGAGGAAGTAGATTTTTATCCACAAAAAAAATCTGTTAATCTTTAAAGTGCCACAACTTTTTATCCTTTGTCTCCCCCCTCTTTTTCCCACTTTTTCACCTTTAATTTTGTCAACATGCACACACTGAGTGGCTTAATTATAAATTGTGCTGCTTTGCACTCAAATTTCCTCCCACCCCTTAAAGAAACAATAGAGACCAGACCTCATTTTAACCCAAGTTTCACTTCTTAGTGTGTGGAAATTGGGGATTTACGTTACTTCCACAGACACCTGTGTTTTCCACTGAATGGATGATGTGCATGTCTCCACTGCACACATGAAATGCAGAAGGAAGTAGGAGTTAATCAATTTGAACCTGATTGTAATGTATATTTTTAATTTATGAGTTTCCCAGTGGCTTTCTTTAAGGTTTCCTACAATATTGGTAATATTGTCAGCAGTAACATAAACCATTTATATCTAGAAGAGCCATTGGAACTAATTTGTGCAAAGACCAAGGTAACATGGTGTTTAACCATAGGATCTGTTTGGCTTCAAAGTTGAACTTTGGGCATGAACCAAAACACTAATAAAAATAATGTGGTCAATTCTTCCCACTCTGCTTATTTTAAGACAACCTGTGAAATGGTTTGGAATCCGGAAGGATAACAATGAGTTCACCTTTGGGTTCCCAAGTTCATTTTTCCTTCACCAGCAGGGCTAAGTCAAGCACAGTACATTTAGCGCATTTGTTCGAAAGAGGTTAACAGTCTTTGCCCATTAGACACAACTCCAATCTTGTGGCTTCAGATTTTCTCTTCAAACACATGTGGAAGAATGAATGGTTTTGCCAAAGGCAGCAGAGGTGGACAGGCAGGGGCTGGGCATCTTCTCTTCACAAGGACTTCTTGTCCTGACTTAAGTATAGCAAGATGTTTAGTAGATTCAACAGTAAGTAAGCATTTCCTTCTCGATTGTCCTCTAAATCTTTCCTCCCTTGTGTGACAGGTGCTGTTTCTGCGAACAGTAGTAGGGAATAGGGAATGTCTTCTCAAGAGCAAAGATCTGAAAAACACCACTGTATTTAGAGTGATTTTATATTAGCAGCAAGCATGCTTTGGATCCTGGATTATCTTTTTGTGTGTGTTCTACTTATCTGAACCATTTTTGGTTTTGATGGCGCAAGATGAAGTGAATGAACTGTGTCCTTTACAAGGGGATAATTTAGAAAATAGCAGCTGAAAAGAGGAAAAGGAGATTTCTTAAAGCAGATTAAATTAGAATTACATTTCTTCTTTTCTGTTGTTGATATAATGTTGACATTTGAGTCCTTGTAATTTGTAAATGAAGGTATATTGATTTGCCCTGGTTCATCATTCTGTTGAAATATTGTTTTAGAATTCTATTGAATATGGTGATATTCCTGCATGATGGCTTGTTGGTGTGAATAACAAACGTGCCCACTTACAGGAAAAGAGTCAAAAGAGGAATATGACATACTTGGAACTTTGTATTGTCCTTCCAATCTATAATGAGAGCTGTCAGCTCATGGATTCCTTTGAGAAATCTATTCTAACCTGTAAATCATTTCAGAATTTTTAAATTTGTTGTGAAGGTCTTTTATTTTTCTGTAGTAAGATATTTGGGAGATTTTTTACTGGTCTGAAAATATCTGAAAGTCTATGTGCAGAATTTGAAGCAGGCCTGTTTTTAGTTGCTTCAGGGAAGGAAAGGCTAGAACCAGTGGGCAGACAAACAGATTTCAGTGCAAAAGGATATCTTGGGAGATACTGAGCACTTCTTTATAAAGCAAAGGCTATGTGACCGCCCAATACGGATGCTTTCGTTTCATCCTATAATGCAAGTCCTGTTTGAGCTGGACTAGATGACCTCCCAGGCCACCTTCTAACACTGTGGAGCATATAGTGTTTCCTTATTAACATGAAACTCCCTTTTGTGCCCATTTATGAAGAGTGAAAATGGAAACACTACTCAAATTTGTGTGGTCTTGTCAATTCACATCTCAGTCACAAATGCTGCTCTGAAATACAGTCTTTGATATGAAACTCCTCTGCCACTTTTTGTCGGCTGCAGTGATGGCATCTGGTCTTCTTGTGTCAAGTTGCCAAGGAGAAATATCAAATACCATGTCTGTTTTTTTTAAAAAGTAGTTGTATTAGAAATCTGGAATAACATCATGCCATACATCCGTTTTCAGAACTACAGCCAAAATACAGTAGTTAAAGGTAAAATGGCATTCTCTGTGTTCTATTTTTGTGACCATGGGATATGCTGCTGGACCATTCTTGTCAATAATAATTATGCAATACTTCAAAGGTCAAATTCCTGTGTCTGTTTCCTGGTATACTCTAATAACTGTATCTTTTCCACAAAAAGGAATTTAAATGGCTTTATTTTCTGTTTTGAAAAGTGTTCTGGTGGGGAATTTTTGAACCCTTTAGTACATAAATTGGAACAGTATTGAAAATTTGGACCTCTGATGGCTTTTGATGATGGTAGTTTATGGTTGTTTGGGAGACTGGAAAATCAGGGTTCTTGCTTGTGTGTTGAGCCTACACAGAGGCAGGCGTGTGTCCTCTGTAGATTTCATGTTTTCCATGTATTGAAAGTGACAGTGGAGAGGGCAGAGGCTATGTACTTCTGTTTAAGCGGGGCAAGCATATCTAAGCACAGAGTGCCTAAATATGCCTTGTGTTTGTGATCATGCTCCATGACAATAACAGTGTGACCATAATCTAAAGCAGGGTGCAGAAAATGTACCCATCCAGATGTTTTGGGCCACACTTCCCATTCTTTGCAGCCAGGATGATCCTTGAGGAGAAACTATGGGCAATGGAGTCTGATGCCATCTGGAGAGCTACAGATTTCTAACCCCCAATGTAAAGGCTTTGATGGATGTAGACCTGAACTGACCTTCTCAGTAGACATCAGCTGATATTGTAGATATAAGAAATGTAGCAATTGAAATTCATTTTAAAGTACTGTATTAAAAGGCGATAAAAAAGAGAGTATTTTAAAAAAGCTAGAAAGTGCTTTTGTTTATGTGGCCAGAAGCCTTTTTTATAGTTTCAGGTTAAAGGAGAAAAGAATATTGAAGGATTCTAAGAATTAGGGCTTCTTTTTTAAAATGGTGAAATGTATAATTCTTGTGTCCATGTTTGTTTCACTAATAAAGAACCAAAACACTAATCATACATGCATGGAATTCTGGTACCTACAGCATGGCATCTTTAATCCTCCGAGTTAGCAGCATGTGTAAGCACATTCTGTTTGCCTTTTTAAAACATAGAAAGTTGTGATGGCTTTCCACATGTTACATCTTGATTTCCTATTTAATTTTGCTGTACATCAGTCAAAAGCACACATGTGAAATGAATGAGCTTACTCCAGACATCATCCTTCGCAAAGAGAACCCCTTTATGTCGTGCTATCAGCGAAAAGATTCTGGCTCGGACGGTGAACAAGACAACAGTGTTCCTGACCTAGAGAAAGATGATTTTGCTATACGCAGAGCAAAGCTAAACCAACCTAAACTTACATTGCCATTTAACCAGTTCATGCTTGGATCCTATATAAGCAAAGATGGAGGTAAAGGGGAAGAAGGGAAGAAACACATGAAAGAACAGGAATGCTCAAGGTCTGCTAATCTGTTTCTTTCTGTATTATTCAATTGAATTTGACATTTTTAAGTGATGAAGTAAATCAGTTGTTCCCTTTTCTTGTTTGCATATTTGTAATTGAGTCTGAATGTGTATTGGTTAGAACATAGCCTAGTCAAATCCAAGGGAGAGATTTCCAGATGTATTGGAATGGAAAGATTTCATCAGGTGTTGATTTTCCCTTTATCAGCCATAGTTTGAACAAAATGGCAAAAGAATTGAGGCTGAAGCCTGTAAATATTTCCATCAAGCATTTTAGGCTCAGCTATAAAAAAATGGGGAAAAAACATTGTTGACAGTTCTATGAAAACTCTTCTGATAATTTCAGAGAGGAGCTATTGGGGTATAGGTCCAAAGCTTTTGGGTTGGTATTTCAGGGTAACTTAGTCTCTTAAGGCAGTAAGTGAAAGCCTGCCACTTAATGTAAGCCAAGTCTTAACTTATGGTCCATTCCTTCCTGGTAAACAAAACATCCCTGCTGTGAGTCTTGGGAGTTATATGCACAAATATCAAGCCAGTGTAAACGCACACCTGAGAATCACAGAGGGACAGTTTGCTATCCTATTTGATATCTATATAACCAGCCTGTTATCTATCTGTATTATTTCACCTGGTGCAGAGTGAAATAAATATCAATACATTCTGCACTGTATTCCAGCCTGTCCCAGCAAAACCCAGTAAGGCTTTATAATAAAGGATTAAGTAAGTGATATTTTAGGGAGCACAGGAATATTAGTCTATGCTTATTGAGTCTGTGAGATTATTTTCATTCTTCTGTCAATATTAATTACGGGATAAATAGCTTTCCCAGAGAGTTGAGAAAATCTTTTGTAAGATCCGCTTGTTTCAGCTGCATTCTGTCATACAAAAGTTTGTTCCACTGTGGCAGCACTGTGAGCGTCAACATTTATCGTCTGTGTCTGGTACGTACATGACTAATTTCTTGGAATAGTATCTGAAGAACATATCAGACTCCTTAGATGCTGCTGACCTTGGTAACAGCTAAATACTTGGTAACAATGGAAATTGCCAAAAAATGTTATATTTGGAAGCAAAACTTTAGCTCATGATTAATACAGGAAGTGGACATCATAACTGTCAAAATGAGAGATTGTTAATAGTTAAGTTTATTTGCCCAAAGGTGACAGTGGCTTTGTGTGCCTGTGCTAATAATCTGTAGGTTGTCTGTAGAGAACAGGACTCAGTGGTTCCCAGGGTGGCATAGGCAGGCATTTGCCAGGGTCTCAAGATCAATACCAAGCCTATCACTGCATCATTTTTGACCCATGCTGCTTACAGACTGGGATGGAGCTCTGAAAAGCCTCTTAAAGCCCTGCTGCCCGTAGTGGCAGGCAACACTCTTACAAGAAGGGGTGTTTATTTCACAAGATAGTGTACTGTTCCCTACCTGAAATTTCAAACAGATTTTTTTTTTTCATTCAGCACTTTGGTTTATTTCTTTTGCTCCGGACTTCAGTATTGGAGCGTGATATGTCTTTGTCTTGTCCCACAAAACTGTTCTTTATCCTGCTGATTTTGACATATGCATTACATTAGTGGAAAGAAGGTTCACATGACTTCAGCAAAGGGAATGTCATTATGTGAAGAGGAACTCTTCCCGCAATCTCAAGAGGACGGATCTGAGAAGAAAAAAGAAGCAGCAGTTTGTAACATTCAAAGAGATGATCTGGCTAAACGAAACGTTCAGATTTGCCCCTCCCAACTAGACTTGTCAATGTTTGTGAAAACTTCTATAACACAAGCTGATAAGGAAATATGGGACCGGCTGAAAGTTTCAGGGATGTCCAGGTATGTTTTCATAAAGGAAGGGACAACATAGCTTCAGTCCTTTTGTTACCAGAATTGTGGCACTCAGGAAGATAGGGTTTTTTGTCTTCTGAACACTAATTATGAGCTGTTCACACACGTGTTGTTTAGTTCCAAGAGAGGGAATATCACATGCAATAAATTTTGAATCGTGTGCATTATGGTCCATTAATAATTTACGTATCTCCCCTTCCCCCCACCCCACCCCATGGATCACTTTTTACTAGCCATCTTTGAGTATGGCCTTCATGTTTCCTTAATGATTGCAGCATACAACCAAGGGAAGTGTTTTTTCCACATGGCTAAGAATAGCACCTTGGCCCCCTCCTTGTGGTTTTTTGTGCAATTCTTTTGATCACATCTGCACAGGAACCAGGAATATCCCTTATCTTAACCCTTCAGATTCTAGGCTTGAAACACTTCTTTTCCCCTTGATATTTCAGATTCAAGTTTCCATTTTGGGCTTCCCTCTTCTTGGCACGCCCATGCAGGAAGCAGCTGTTACAACAGACCTTGTTAGCTGTGATCAGCATTACATAGGAACATGTCTGAATCCATCAGAGCTAGACGATAATTCTCTATCAGGTTCAATGGAAAGATTGTGAGGGCAATCCAAGGAAAAGTTTAGAAAGTGTAAATAAAATTGCGACAAAGACATATGACATTGGTTGGCATCAAAATGCTTCTGCTGCTATTTCATTTGTTCATATAATTTTCTTTTTATAACACTGCTTTGTTTTAGCAGTGTTTTTAAAAATTATTATACATATTGCACTCTTCAGCAGAATAATTTAAATAGAATAACTTCTTCCGTATCATATGGGCATTTTCTTTGTTTGAAGGGTTGTCTGTGTGTTCTCATTTCTTTCATAGGCTGATTTTACTTTTTAAATTAAATCTTAGGTTATTTTCTTTCCCCTTCGGGTTGCCTTTTATATGCTTTTCTTTCTTTGTTTGTTTACATCTTGGCTCTTAGTGATGAGGAGCTCATGGACGTTCCAGGTTCATTTCTCTCCTCCGAAAAGGCATTGGAACCTGCTGGCCATAATGATGGTGTTGCTAGCCACAATGTACAAATACCCAAGAAAGCTACGAACCCCAAGCAGAGGTTTGTGCACTTTGGACCAGTGATAGAAATTGACCATAAAACATGGGAGACACTTTCAGTTGCTAGGGCTGTGACTCAAGATGAAGAGCAAGAGGCATCCAGTAGGAAAAGTGCTGAGGCTTGTGTGACCTCTCATGAAGCCTCACCTTCCATTTCTGTGAGTGATGATGACAAGTCTGTTGATCACACTGATGAAGTCCACAGGCTGCATGATAATCCCAGGTATTAGTGTGTGACATGGAAAGAGCACTGAAGTATCACAATGGATGAAATAATGGATGACACAGTAACTATGACCAGTTCACATGTGAATTCTGGCTGTGCTTATGCAGGAAAAAGAGAGCAGTATTCACTTTCCTTTTCTCTGCTACTGTAACAGCAGAAGCCAACAAGGAACTGAAAGCATAGTGTAGGATCTGAATGGAGGATCCTGGCTTGTCATTTCCTTTCATAAAGCAGGAATCAGTCTTGGTTTACAAATAACTTCCTGTTTCATATTGAAAAGTTAGGATCCCAAGTTTGGGTGACATGTGAGTCTTTTGGTTTTGTACTGGAGCTAGTTAGATTAACACGTTAAATATGCCAGCATGCAGCAATTTTTCAATAATTCAGAATTCTCCAGAATCTTATTGTTTTGGTGTGAATCAAATAACTGTGTGCCTGATTCTCTGCCCCAGATAATGCTTCTCTTGGTAGTGAGAGCATAAGTACAGGATGGTAGGAAAGGAAATTTCTGGAATTCTGTGCATATAGCAGTTCCCTTTTTGGGAAGGGGAAAGGATTATCCAAAGCACCTTCCAAATTTGAAAGAGAAGAAATAATTTTCCAGTGCTTTGGACATAGAAAGCATATTGTGTAAAAGAAACTCAGGAGGTGTGGTGGCGGCATGCAGATCTAAGGTCCTGCGTTGATTTACAGAACCATAGTTAACAACTGCTTATGCATGCAAATCTACTTAGAACTGTTGAGTTGTACTTCAGATTTCTTTGTCCTTTCTGGAAACTCCTATATATATATATAGGAGCACTTCTATATATATAGAACTACCTGTTAAGAAGCATGGAAAAATCAGTGAATATGGAGAAGACTAAGATTAATTTATCAGTGCTCCAATTATTCCTCTATTCATGTTAAATGAAATGTATGTTTGGTGTGCAGTTTGATGGTTTAAAATGTTTGCAGATCGGTTTGATGGTTTAATATGTAATTCCATCCCTGGTTCTGCAGACTTTAGTTGGGCGTATTCCCTAACAAATAGATTCAATAAGGAGAGAGCAACCTGTAGCCCTCCAGATGTGTCCCTTGGACTATTAGGTTAGAGCAGGAATTTGATTTAAATTTGTGTTAGGGTGACCAACAGTGACTCTGAAACACTGTTGACCTACGCATAACCCTCATCAACCCTCACCACTGGTTAGGCCTGATGGAAGTTGTATCCAACTGTGTTCGGAAGATCCCAGTTGCCCAAACCAATGCAGAGATAAATCCTGCTCTAACCAAGGACTCCATCCAGAATGACCTATTAATCTGGCTGAGTGAGCCACTTGGCATGCCACATCCCCACAAACAATATATCTTCCATCAAGGGTGCATTGATCTCCTAGTTCTCCTATAGACCAGGACCTTAAAGGTCATGCTTAAGTATTAGCATGAAGCTGGCTTGTGATGTCCAAACCACAATGTGTTGCTCTCTGCTTCTCATTTTACAGTGGCAGAATCTCCTGTGTGAATCCAGTTTGAGCTGCCTAGTAAGAGGCACAGTAGGAAAGGAAGCAAAAGAGGAGGTTGCCTTCTCCATTAGAAGACGTAGGCTGTAATACCTTCCCTTCAGTCAAGGATGGCCAGTTCTTTCTCATCAGTATTCACTAAGGCCTTCCAGTGCCCTATTGGCTTAGCTTGGTTGTCTTGGGGCATTTCAATAGATTTCTTTCACATTCTACTACTCTTCCATCTGAAGTGGTACCAGAGCTTTTGCATTATTGCTGTCAGGACATTACAGTGCTTCATTCTTCCCTTGTAGACAGCTGGTAGAGTCCCTTTCTCCCTCATTTCTGGCATGTTTTGATGTCTGTGTATTTTAAAATGGCTTGCCCTTTTATTTTTGTAGTGTGGAAAAAAGATCTGTTTCCTGCAGAGCTGGGCACAAAGGCCAGAATTTATATTTATTCGTCTCTTCCTTTATCTAATCAGTTGTTGTCATTGCAAGAATTCTGTTTTGATGCTTCTGTTAAGAAACTCAGATGTGCAATTTGAAGGATAAGATGAATAAGTGAAAGTCTGTTCTTAGCCTTTCCATATGGTTTTCATTACCTTTCTCTCTCTCTCTTTCTCTCTCTCTCTCTCTGTCCTGTTCTTCATCTTATACTGTTAGAGAAATAATACTGTCCAATGTGGATGTGTATAATTCATCAGCTTTAGATGCTTGTGCTGATTCTCAGAAGCAAAAACTAAGTTTTTTTAATGAATGGCATGAAAGCAGTGAAGAAGAGTTGGACGAGAATTTGCCAGACATTGAGAGAGATGACATGCTGGCTAGAAGATTAGGAACTTTTCAAAAATCTACTAGCCCAGTTCGCACAACATATCCTCCCATTTCAGTAGCCAGCTATGGGCCTTTGAAACAGCAACAAAACATTACTTATTGTGGAGAACGGGGGTCTCCACAGAAAGCAGAAAGGTCAGAAATAAAAAAAAACTGCTGTCATTGGTTTCTTATGCCTGTTTTGCATAGCATGTTAATTGTGCATTTTATGAGAAGAAAGTAAAAAGTGATTCACTATTCCCAGTGTAGTGTCAAACTAGTTGCCTTTGTTTTATAGAAAAGGACAAAATAAAATGAAAGTTTAGAATACAAGAGGTGTGAAAGAAAGGATGAGTTTAGGTTTTTTTAAAGGCTAATTTACATTATAAGAAAGTTTTGGTTTCAACCTCTAAAGTTTAATACATTATAAATGTAATGTAAGAGTAGAATAGGCTATCTTTTAATTTCAGCTTGTTTCTTATTAGTAATCTTTTTAAAAAGCTATCTAAAATGGTATTTGCTTTGTGTGCTTTTAAAGTGCTTATCCAGTTGTGTGAAGCAGTGACAGTAGCAAAGATGACCATTACATTCTCAAAAAGGTCAAAAAATTCAGAAAGTCCTCAAAGTTATCATAATGTTGCTGGCTGTTATTTTTGTGTGACTTTAAAAAAATAGCATAATTTGCCTCTATTTTTACCTTATTAATTCTTTTCATAAGTATTCTTGCATGTTACGTGCGTGTTTAAAGTGAATTGTGGTAGTTCCTATCATTACTTTTTTGTTTTACCTATTTGGATATTCCTAGAAGGAGCACATAATCTCTTGTGTGAGATTTCACATTACCCATGCAGTGTGTCTAAGCTGACACCTGTTTATTTTGAGCATTGTTACAGTACGGTATGTATCTGCAAATGATATTTGCCAGGTCATAAACCGTTGTATATAGGTGTGTTTTTCTTCATCATCCTTTAGCTCTCTTTTGAATAACTGTGCCCACAATTGCTTTATGCAGAAGTTCCTCACTGACTTGTGGGATGCAACATGAACACAGAGTGCCTTCACCTTTATCTGTAAACTCTGTTGTAACATATGAAGATGGCTGTGCAAGGTTAGAAGGTCCAGATGAGCAAAGAACTTCTACAAGAGTGGACAAAGTGAGATTTAAAAGTCCTGGGAGAGATGACATGATGGTGAGAAGAACCAGAGCTTTTCTGAAACAGACGGGACCAAGTGTTAAACAGTTCCTCCCAGTTCCGTTCTCGAAGCAGCAGAATGGTGAGGAAGCAGCTAAGGAGATAGTAAAGACTGAAAAGAAAGTGAAGAGGTCAGAAGGTTCTTCTGTGGTCTTTTATATCACCCCCAACTTTCACTTAGGAGCAACTGCAGAATACCTGTTTTCAGTTTTGCTGTCGCCTTCTGTCTCTTGGTGATAATGAGCTTCCCAATACCCTGCTTGCTGCCTATTGCAGATAGAAATTTTCTCCTGGGGAGGGAAGATTAACGAACTTGGTTCTCCTCTTCCCACTTAATGCTGGCAGAAATTGCATTGGAATGTGCAGATTACTGAGCTAGTACATTTGTTAGGGAAATAGTAAGTTTTGCAGGCTTATGACAATGTGAATGCAGTGAGATCAGCCCTTCTCCTTTTTCTGTTCTATTTCTAAAACCCACATAGAGGATAATCAACGGGAATTCCTTCCTTCCTTCCTTCCTTCCTTCCTTCCTTCCTTCCTTCCTTCCTTCCTTCCTTCCCTTACATTGGGTCAAGGTGGCTGGACTAGCTACTCGCTGTCAGGGCAGCCAAAATACTGTAATAAATGAGAGCATTGTTTACAAAGAATGTAGTTCCAGAAAGTGTGCTTTTTAAAAATATAAAATGCGTACATTAAATTTGAATAGTTATACCTTCAATGAATTGGACTTTAGGTATTAAGGAAAAGGTTTGTGAGTGAGACTTGGAGTCTTTATACAAGGAAAAATACAATCTGAGCAAAATATTTCTCTATAAAACTCTGAGTAGTGTATGTTTCCCCTCAGAGCATTTTACAACCAGTTAGGTGACTGCCCTTCCTCTCAATGTTTTCTCTTTTGTGTTTTCCTTAGAAAATTGTCTGTGTTGTTGTTGTTGTTATAATGCAGCACTTATTAAAATGCAGCACTACAATGAATCTTGCTTTCGCTATTAGTCAGCATTGTGATATAGTCTCATATCAATTAGCGGGGCATACATTGGACACGTATAGTATATCTCATTAACAGCTAAAATAGAAATTACTTCTTTAGCACTGCTATGACAGATACAGTGGCTACTGGAAACATACCAAAGCTTTGTGCAGAAATTCCTGAAAAGCTTGTCGTGCCCCTTGGACCCAAACTGGAAGAAGACGCACACCGCTTCTCCGGTGGAAGGCAAGAAGCGGTGTCTTCTGAAATGCCTAAAAATGCGTTCGACCCTGACCAAGTCCAACCAGGATGTTCTTCTGACACGCAGGAAGCTTTTGAAAAAAACAGCAAGGAATTCCTGTCACTACAGGATGAACAAATACAAATGTGAGCTCCGGAGTGGCTCGAAACTTGAGCCCTACGTGGTTGCATACCTAATGTGTTTGTGTGTGTGCATGCTGGAAGCAAATAAGTTTTGCTCTTGCCTGCTTTATTTTATTATATATTAACAGTCACGTATACTGCTGTTTGTCTTTTGAAACTAATAAAGTCTTTGCAAGCAGTGCATTTTTATTTTTTCCTTCCAAACCTGTAAAAACCATCTGTGAAGTAGGCTGTGATGGAAGAGGCATCATGGAGGTGGGCCAGGTAGCTCCACGGTGCAGGTATTCGGTGGCGGGTTCACCGTACAGATTTAAAACTTGGCTTCTGCCAAATGAAATGGATCACAACTTGCAGATTGTACAACTTTCATGAAAAAAACTAGATATAGCCATTTCTAGGACTCGTTAGGTGAAAAAACAACGTTTTTTGCCTCCTCCCACTTGGAAGAATCATTGAGAATCAATGATTTTATGTCTTTTAAATAAATTTGCATTATGAAAAATGTAATATGCATATAGTAACTAAATGTGTGGCTTATAAAACAAGTTTTATGTTAGCTTTTCAGAGAAACTACTTCCGTTCTCAGTTGCTCAGTGTGGCTTGCTAACAGGGTGTTCTGAATTTAAGAAAACAAATGTTTCTAAGAGCTACTGTTGCTACAGTGTTGGGCATTAAAAGTTTATCTCATGTAGAGTGTTCTGAAAACACCTCTTTTTTCCAGCTCTCTGGACTAATGAAGGAGTTTAACTTCAAATGAAAAGCTACCAACTTTTGTGGTTTTGAAAAATTCCCCTTCCCTTTCTCCGTTTCCACCCCACCCTACCCCACCTCTGCCATTTACACTTCCTCCTTCGCCTGCTGAATCTCTCTAATTTTATATTTGGTTTTATAGATTCGGCTCCAGAACTGCTGTGTCTGATGACGCAGAGTAAGTTGGTGTGTGCTCATTGAGTTGCTTTAACAATTTCAGCTGCATGCTTTCCACACTTATTACTAATTTAAAATGCCAGTATTCCACCACTATTACTTTCCATTGTTTTGGTGCAGAGCTGCTTGAAATACATGTGCTTTGGCATACACTGTGGGGTTGATATGTGTGCTGTTGTACTACAGTAACGACTTTTCAGAAATCAATAAAGCATGTCATTGTTGCTGCAAAACCTAGCCTCTCTAATTCATGATGTGATTGTCTCTTACTCCCTGTGAGGTGGTCTATAGAACCACTCATTTACTGTAATTATAGAAGAGGTAGCCGTGTTAGTCTGTGCTTGGAAATCAAGCCAAAACAAAACAAAAATAAAAAAAGACGAGAAAATTGTGACACATTAAAGACTAACTGGTATATTTTAATGTGAGCTTTCATTGACAAGTCCACTTCCTCAGACTTCATCTTGTATTCATAAAAGCTCACATTAAAAATAGCAGTTAGGCTTTAAGCTGCTACAGTATTTTTGTATTCTTTAATCTTTTTCTTTTGTTTTGGCCTCATTTCTTGTTACAGTATTTTTGTATTCTTTAATTTTTCTTTTGTTTTGGCCTCATTTCTTGTAACTAAAACAAACTAGAACTATTATTGTGGAAGCCATTTACAAGTTCAAAGCTTGGCCTAGGTGTAGATTAACAGACAGAAAGTCGAGTGAATGACTGTATCTGTCCCAGCTAGTAGAAATTCAAAAGGTAAAACACAGTTAATATCCTTGCACGATCTGTGCCATATAGTTTCATGTTTTTCTTCAATTCTTCACTGAGAAGCTATTTCATGAGCGGCTGCAGTTGAGAGCAAGTATAGATAGGGCTTGCTTATCCCAGTAAGGTAGGCTTTTTCTGTTTTTTGGCTACTCAGAATCCCATCTTCCAAGCTGCAATTAGCCAATTTTTATGCTTATGCAATTCCTCAAATATATTCATTCATTCATTCATTCATTTACAATATTTTTGGCCCATCTTTCTCCTTAAAAATGACTGAAGATGGCCTACATAATAAGAATATTTAAAAACTAAAAACAATAAGTATACAAATATTTAAAAGAATTAAATAAATATTATGTTAAAAACAGTAAATAAAATAAATACCAAAAAGCATGTTTAAAAGCAACAAGATTTAACAATCCATTTAAAAACACCTCTCTGATAGCTGGTTCCTAAGGGAAAGCCTAGGGGACGTGGTGGCGCCGTGGGCTAAACCACAGAAGCCTGTGCTGCAGGGTCAGAAGACCAAGCAGTTGTAAGATCGAATCCACGCGACGGAGTGAGCGCCCGTCGCTTGTCCCGGCTCCCGCCAGCCTAGCGGTTCGAAAGCATGCAAATGCAAGTAGATAATTAGGTACCACCTCGGTGGGAAGGTAAACAGCGTTCCGTGTCTAAGTCGCACTGGCCATGTGACCACGGAAAGATTGTCTTCGGGCAAACAAACCACAAAAAAACGCTGGCTCTATGGCTTGAAGAGCGGGATGAGCGCCGCCCCCTAGAGTCGGACATGACTGGACAAAATTGTCAAGGGGAACCTTTACCTTTACCTAAGGGAAAGCCTGCCTGAAAAGAAAGTTCTATGTCAACTTGCAGAAGAACAGCAAAGACGGAGCCAGCCTGGTCTACCATGAGAGGGAGTTCCAGAGTCTGGGAGCAGTGACAGAGAAGGTCCTCTCCTGTGTCCCCACCAAACACCTCTGTGAAGGTGGTGGGACTGAGAGCAAAGTCTTTCCTTGATGGTCTTAAAACACCCAAGCAGGTTCACAAAGATAAGACATTAGTCTTTCCTTGATGGTCTTAAAAACCCAAGCAGGTTCACAAAGATAAGACATTGAGATAGCTTGGACTCAAGTCATTGAGGGCTTTTTAGGTTAAAACCAGCTTTATTTTGTGCCCAGAAATATATCTGGTGTGGTGGGGCATGGTTATGTGATACCTATAATCAGCCTCAGGTAACAATCTGACTGCAGGGTTTTGGACCTACTGAAGTTTCCAAACACTTTCCAAAGGCACGTGATACCTATAATCAGCCTCAGGTAGCAATCTGACTGCAGGGTTTTGGACCTACTAAAGTATCCGAACACTTTCCAAAGGCAGCCCCACATAGAGCGTGTTGCAGTAATCAAGCCAGGATGTAACTGTGGCCAGATCAGATGTCTCCAGAAACAGGCTGGCACACTAGTTTTAACTGCAAATACACTCCTGGTCTCCAGTGAAATCTGGACATCCAAGCTGTGCAGCTGTTTTTTCAAAGGTAGTGTAACCCTAATCCAGCACAGGTTGCATCCCTATTTCTTGTTCTGTCTTGGGTCTCCACTGAAATCTGGACATCCAACCTGTGCACCTGTTTTTTCAAAGGTTGCATCCCTATTTCTTGTTCTGTCTTTCATCTGACCAGAAGCACATATGTCTTGTCTGGAATAAGTTTCAGTTTATTTGCCCTCATCCAGGCCATTACTGAAACCAGACACTGATCTAGAGCTGATGATGAAAAGGAGAGATAGAGTTGGGTGTCATCTGCATACTGGTAACACTGAATCACAAAACTGGTCAACCTTTCCCAGCAGCAGCTTCATGTAGTTGTTAAATGACATCTGAGAAACCCCACAGGCTAACAGCCAGGGTGTTGAACAGGAGTTCCTCAGCACCACCTTCTGAGTTCTTCAGGAAAGACTGGAGCTGCTATAAAACAAAGCCTCCATCCCAGATATACAGCCCAGAAGGGGAACTCCATGCATAGGGGCGGAGCCTCTGCACAGAGCTCTGGAGAATTAAGAGAGAATGTTGACCCTAAATATGCAAGGGTGACAGAGCATAATGACTTCTTCTTCGTGACCTCTGTGAATGCACACATTGGGTTCAGTCTGTCTCCGCGCCGCGCAGTGAATATGCAAGGGTGACAGAGAATAATGACTTCTTCTTCTTCTTCGTGATCTCTGTGAATGCACACATTGGGTTCAGTCTGTGTCTGCGCAGGTCCTCTCAAAATATTCTAGAGCTTTTATTAAAAAGTAACAGTTGAGAGTTGCCCCTATAACGCATGCTCTGCCCGCCTCAACCTTAAGTTCCATTTTACCGCCTCGGTGCTAGGGACTTCTTGGTACAGAGCTCGTTATTTTGCTATTTATAAAGGTTTTTGACTCGGATCGTTTGACTACGTTTTTGCTTCTTTGGTTGCCCCTCGTCACCACTGACCTTGGACTGTTCACGGTTATTCTTGCTGCCTCATAAAATTGCGATTTTGCGTGTATGACCAGGACTGTCTCTCATTCCCGCACTTCCTATTCACTGGATTTTTGCCTGGCTGGAAATTTTGTCTACCGACTCGGACTGTCTTTCATTCATGCTTTTCTCTAAACTACTGGACTTTTGCCTGACTACATGTTGCCTAACTGGACTATTGCCTATACGACTTCAAAACTTCTCTTTCTCTTATGAATTTGGTATTTGGTATTCCGTCATTAACTAGGCTCAATCGAACTATCTTCGAGCCTCCCGCCACCACAGTCGTGAGTCCCTGTTTTCTTCTTATTCTTACTACTTTATGTCCCCGTCAGGTCCTTTTAGTAGGTGTGTGTCATGTTCTCGTAAACTACCCTTCTCAGATGGTCACGACCGCTGCGTTTTTTTGTTTAGGGGAAACCCATCAACTCCATTCTTGCAGGCATTGCAAAAAAATTACCAAAGCCGCTCTTAAAGCCTGGCAACAAAGACTTACGCTTTTTCTATGGGATAAAACTCTCTCAGCATCGAAGCCCACTGAGATGGAAATGGCATCAACACCTTTGGCTACTCCCTGTCCAGAGGGTAAAATTTCCTCTCCACCCCTTATGTCAATGTCAAAGACAGTCAACAAGGCATCGAAAAAAACTTCCACGTCGACTACAAAGAAACCACTTACCTCAACATCGAAAACTCCTTCTGGCAGTTCTTCGAAGGATACACTGAAACAAAAAAATTGACTCTTCAGGATAAGAAAGATAAATGAAGCTCTTCTAAAGATCATCAGAGACATATCCCTCCTGTCTCTGCTTCATTACCGTCACCTATTCTTGAAGATTCCCCTTGAGATCAGGAATTGCTTTCCGAAGCCACTGTGTCTCTTCCTCCGCGTCAAGCGGAGGCTTCACCTAGAGGGCTAGATCGATCACCAAGCCCTGGCCAGCTAGAAGACATTGTTCTCTCTAGCCCGGCTTCTGCCCATCATAGCCCTGTTTCCACCGGTGGGCGTTACCCATGCCTTTCTCACCATTGGGTTCCTTGGGGCCAGATTCTCCACCTCGTAAGAGGACGTCGAAGAGAAAACATATTTCTCCGGACTGGTGCCGTTCCTCCCACCGTGAGGTTATTCTTCTCTCTTACTTGTCCCGACGTCGAAATAAATCCAAATACGACAAGCCTGTCTATATCAAGGTTGGTCAGAAGCGGTCCCACCGTCGACGTCGACATAAAGAGTCTGACATCAACTCTTCTTCAGAGACAGAGGACTATTGTAGAAGCAAAAAACTTTGATACATCTATGCTTCCACGTCGTCATCTTCCTCTCCATCTCCACCCAGGCATCGACGTCAACAGCCTCATGACTTCGAAACTCGACGGAGTGCCAAGCATCAAAATGTGAATAAGGACAACCCCAAACAACCAACACATCACAAAGCCCCTAAGTCCGTGTCAAGGACTATTGACTCACAAGATAAATTGCCACCTGTACAGCAAACATCCAGACATGAGATAACCAAACAGAAAGCAAAAAACCCTCCGCGCTTACCTTCACCTTCAGACCAAGAGGATGTGTTTTCACCTACAGTGGTGGCTCGCTTAACAAGGATAATCCAGCGAAATCGCTGTAGAACGAAATTCTCGTTAGGCGAAATAAAAAAGCCCATTGAAACACAATGAAAACCCTTTAATGCATTCCAGTGGGCTGAAAACTCACAGTCCAGCAAAGATCCTCCATAG